GCTCCTTTTAGAAAGCTGGAGCAGGTTTAGAGAAGGGCAACAAGAATTATAAGAAGTATGGATAAAATATATAGACATATGAGTACCTTTTGAAGGAATAAAGTATATTCAGCCCCATGACAAGACTGAGGGGTGATATGATTGCACTCTTCAAATATCTAGAAAGTTCGGACTATGTTTGTTCAATGATGCCATGGAGAATAAAATCCAGTCTTATGGTTTTAAGTTACAGGATGATAGACTTCAATTGAACATTAGAAGGAACTTCTTGATAGTAAGAAAACATTGGCAATGGAACAGATTACCTAGAATGGTGATGATCTCCCTTCTTCTGACAGCTGGGAATGTTCTAGCTGGATTTCCTGCACTGAACATGAGGTTGCACTCAATAACCTGTGGAGCTCCTTCCAACTCTGTGATTCTGATTCCTCTGATAATATTTTTAGAAGAAATGTGATTTTTCCCCACTGAAAAACAATTGCCATCACTTATGATCTCCAGTAACATATTCCTATCCTCCTTTCACTACATGTGGAGGAGATGACATGCAACTGATTTTTGTAAGGTCTCCTAAGACTATGCTACCCAGACAAACATGGTCAAAGCATGCTTTGAACAATCATCTGGATCAACTCTGAAACTTTTTCAGTAAACAAAAAGTAGCTTACAGATCAAGAGATTTACTGATAGAGTTAATAAGATACTAAGAAATGCTGTCATATCATTCCACAGAGAAGATATGAGAAAAAGCACAGATCTTAAGATAAACGCAGGACAAGGCAAAGCATGAAAACTAATTTGTTCAGTGTGCTACAACTCTCTCTCTCTCTCTTATGTGTGTGTGTGTACACACCTATCAAAACACATAATGCTTTAAGAGTAGGAAATGAGTGGCTAACTACCAGAAGATGATTGATTTTTCCACCAGTGCTTTTGCTTAGCTGTGGCACAGCCAGAAACCTGGTGGGGGAATCAATATAGCTATTATCAACTGTTGACTACAGTTTGCAAAAGCAATAATAGTCTTTAAAATCTTTTTGACAGCCTCAGCAATCATTCCATTTGTTAACATGTTAAGGCTCTGTGTGAGCATATCTTTAAAATGAAAAAAAAACATTCTTTATCTAATTTTTGCTTTTTCACAAAGCACTTGTCTAATACTAGTAGGATACTATAATAAGTAGAATTGTCCAGGACCTACAAAAAGTAAGACAGTAGAAACCAAGCTAGAGCTTATTTGAAATACAGCAGAGTCTCGCTTACCTGGCATAAACGGGCTGGCAGAACGTTGGATAAATGAAAATGTCAGATAATACAGAGTCTCCTACTGTTACCTGTCTGACATGGTGCTAGACACATAGAATACTAACAACAAGGAGTCAAAGAATTAAGGCAAGGCAATGACTTGGGGCTAGAGTGGCCCAGCAGGAAGTGCCAGGATGCGAAAGAGGAGTGTGGAAATCACAAAGGAAAAGAAGGAGGGTGCTTCCACTTCTGGTCCTGCCTCTTTTCCCCCTTTCCTCCTTCCTCCCTCCTCCTCCTCCTCCTCCATCTTGCCTTTTTCACTTATTGGGAATGGAGAGAGAATTGGGAATCATTCCTTTAATTGAAGGAGAAATGCTAAAGAAAAGGGGGACATTGGATAAGAGCATCAGATAAGATGTAATGTCCGATAAGCCAAGGTCAAATAAGTGAGACTCTACTGTATATAGCATCTCTTCTTCCCAATCTCAAGATGGGTAATGGAGGTCAATATGCCCTAAATCTGATTTCTTATCCAAACTAGACAAGTTCTATTGAATAACAGGAACTAGTTACATGGACAGTTATATAAATTGCATTGATTGAATAAATCAATTCAAGTTAGGACTAACAAATTAATTTTTATTCTGACAGGTTTATACAAATTAGTTTTTAATTGTGTGCCGTTCTCCTGCTTTTTATCTTCTGTCTTTGATGGACTCTTTAATGGTTTTTAATGCTATGGATTGTTTAAATATATTTTAAAACAACTTCCATGTGCATTTGAATATATATATTTTCTGAATGCTTTGTAAGCTTCTTTGAGCTCCAATGTTGGGGGGAAATGAAATAAAATACTAATAATACCGATATTATACATTGTCTATTTAGTTATACATACGTATACATATCATTTATTTATTTATTTATTTATTTACAGCTTTTATATTCCGCCCTTCTCACCCCGCAGGGGACTCAGGGCGGATTACAGTGTACACATATATGGCAAACATTCAATGCCAGTTTTTGACATACAAACATATATAGACATACACAGAGGCTATTTAACTTTTTCCGGCCGCCAGGGGAGCTGTCGCTTTCATCGTCCATCTGCAACGCTGATGAAGCACTTCTGCATTCCCCGCATGCTTCCCTGCTGGAATACTTTTCTGGAGTCTTCTTTATGGCCTCAAAAATTAGTTAATTTAGCCTCCCACACTTTAAGGTGGTACCTTATTTTCCTACTTGATGGATGCAACTGTCTTTCGGGTTGCAAAGGTCGACAACAGGCTACACAAAATTAGTTGGAAACCCACTCCAACCCAGGCTGGCTTTGAACTCAGGACCTTTTGGTCAGAGTGATCTTAATCACTCAGCCAGCTGCACCACAATCCCGGTGCACTCATGTATCAGTCAACCTCAAGTATAAGTTGAGAACATATTTGGAGGCCAGAATGTAAGAGCTCACACATACACACATGCATGCATGCATACATACATACAAGAGTTGAAGTAGGGCAGATGTAATTTTTATTGGTACATTCATACAAGAAGAAATATTTTTAAAGCCCTCCCTCAACCCTGGAACCTGATCTCATCACAAGTGAATACAGATATACGTCCAGCAGCTGCCTTTAAAACAAAACAAGAAACAGTCACACTGTAATATCTTATCATGAAATCTGTACTTTACACATCCTTTGGCCAAAAAGATTAGTAATCCTCTGCTTTCTGTTTTCTGATAATGCTTTCCCTATTGGCTTGCTTGCCCAAGGGTCTGTGAATATTTGAAAGACAAAAACATTTTTTGGAAACGTAACATGCCACTGAAGCACCATTGCTGGTGGGCTTCATAGAGAAAGGAAAACATTAGCACTAGCACCAATGAATCAAAATTCAATTACTTTTTAAAACTGCTAATTTTAAAATGTCAAGGACATTTTAGAAAATTAATTCCTTAATTATTTACGTTGTAAAAGCATTAAATTAAAATACAATTTAAAATGACTAAAAATGGACAATGACAAATTACAGTCACGAGGAACACTGATTGTTATTAAAAATAGCATTATTGGCATTTAAATATTAAAATAGCAAATTCTTAAATCATTGTTGAATTTTTCAAAAAGAAATTCTGAGTAATAAATTATTCCCAGACTTCAAGCATCTGGCTGGCCACTCCTGGGAACTGGATAGATCTTTTGTCTGATCCATTCAGTTTCTTGTGTTCTTATGCATATTGGAGGGTCCCACTCCTGTGTCCTATTACAACAGTGGTTCTCAACCTGTGGGTCCCCGGATGTTTTGGTCTTCAATTCCCAGAATTCCTAACAGCTAGTAACAGGTTGAGAACCACTGTAGTAGAATGTGAGAGGACATGGGACTTCATTTGTGGAATTGTCTCTCCTTGGATGCCTGATTGGTACCAACACTAGAGTCATTATGACACAAAATGACCTTCCACACAGCTCTATATCCCAGGATATCAAGGCAGAAAATCCCATGTTATCTGAGTGTGAACTCAGATAACTCAGGGCAAAGCAGATATTGTGGGATTTTCTGAGATATAGGGCTGTGTGGAAGGACCCAAAGTTAAAAGCCAGCTTTTTATTAAAGCTTTCAGACCATTTTGTCAAGGTTGCATATGTTTTATGGTTATGATATTCAAGATTATTTTAACTGGTTATGAATTAAATAATTGAAGTACTGATTTATATATTTTTAATCTTTTTAAAAACTTATTTAATTTTTATTTTTAGTTGTTTTTACTGTGAACTGTACTGAGATCTTTGGCTAAAGGACAGGATATGGCTATTAAAATAACTAAATAAATAAATCAGCCAAAGCTATATATTTCATTAGGGTCTCACTTCCCAAGGAGGTTATGGGCCTGAATATGAGTGGTTGTCCCAACTTCTCCTGTCATTAAAAAAAAACTGGCTCTGTGACCCCCCCCCCCCCCCCCCCCCCCCCCCCCCCATACCACCCAAAGCTACACATTTTGGAAATAGACAACTTGGTGCCAGAAGATGTAACCTCCTCTGGCAGCTGCTACTGGCTGGTTTCTGATTTTTCTTACCGAAAGGATGAAGATGAAAAAGACCATAACATTGCTCCACGTGGGCTAACTTAGAAACATGAATTTCTTTATACATTGGTCTACATTGGCCAAAAAGAATCAAAACACAGACTCAATGTGAATCCACAGATTTTTGTTTTAAAATGCATTATATGATGTAGATGGAGCCTTGCTTTCCGCAATACAGTACTTTTGGTCTCAGCTTTGCAGTGTTTTCTTCTTCTTCTTCTTTTGCCTGCATAATATATGCTTATTATCCAACCTGCAGATGCAGATGACAGATAACAAAAGGCATTATTACAGTAAGGCCTGACGTCTTGCTGATTTTTATATTCTTGATAAATGCAGTAGAACATATGCTCACAAAGGGTTTTAACTGCTGCTTTTCTAATAGGCAATGCAATGAGTGAAATTACATTTACGACACAGCTTTAATAGACATTTCAATAATGCCTGTTCGTCCATCTCAGCTGTCAACAGAGTAGATGTGATAATTCATTGTTGAGGACTGGAAAAAATGCAATCAGCTTAGCATTGATAGGAGAAATGTTTGTGCATACACTGTGTGTGTGTGTGTGTGTATATATATACAATGCTATTCAGAATTAGCTGTTAAATGATCTTCAAACAAGCCAGTGAAAGGTTTTGACTTGCATGTTTGTCTCCTTTTCTCCCCAAGGAGCATTATGCTGAACCCTGCCTATTTCCGTAACCACCTTCGTCAAGCTGCTGTGTTTCGGAGCTTAGAGAGATATTCTGAGGCTGCAAGGTAAATCTGGGATTCACTGGAGAGCCTTCCTCATCAATACCACACTGTTTCTTCATTTTTTTTTCTGTTGCTTCCTGGAAAAGCTAAGCAGGATGAGTGGCAAACTGGCTCATTTTAGAATCAGTGCGCTATCCTCATTCTTCCATCCTCATTGCAACACCTACCATTTTCAATTTCAAAGTAATGTATAGGCAATCATCAAATTACAAAGTTGAGAGGGACATTCAGTCCAACTCATCCTCATTCAGGAATGAGCAAGAAAAGGACTCAGAACAAATGGTCATCCAAGTTCTGTTTAAAAATGTCCAGAGGAAGAAACTCCACCAAGCTCCAAGGCAGCATATTTCATCTCTAACACATGGACAGATACTTTTTGGCACAAAATAAAGAGAGGAGAGAATGTCACCAATGTAGGATGTAAATACACATGATGGTCAACTAGATGGACTCTGTAAGGATGCTAGGGTATAGACATGTAGCCGGGGGGGGGGGGGGCTTTGGGGGGCTTCACCCCCCCCCCCAAATTCTCATGGTTGTCCGTGAGAAGGCCTTACTGGTACATTATTTAAACTGTTATGTTTATTCATATCATGATCTGATCACCATGCTCAATATATCCCATATGCATGGAAGTATTGGGGTAATGATACAAAAGGTTTGCTAGGGTAGACTCTCTTTCACTCAGACTCAGCCCCCCCCCCCCCCACCAAAAAAAAATCAAAATCCTGGCTACGGGCCTGCTAGGGTAGATTGACTCTTTTTAATTTATTTGGGAAACTCAGACCAAGTGCAGTTCAGCAGAATTGCAGGAAATCAAACAGAATCCCAGAAGCAGAATCTGATTATAAAATTCAATAAATATATATATATATCCCAAACAGAATCCCATAACACCATTTTGCCAGTGCCCGCTAATAGAAATATTGTGGAGGAGTTTCTAAATTGGGTTTGTTTGGATTGTGGGAGAGAAAAAAAGGTGAAGTTTTAGGAGAAGATCTGTCAGAAAACGCTAACAATTTTTCCCAAGTGACATAGAAACCCAGGAAAGCTTCTGAAGAAACTGCAGTGAGGAGTTATGCTAGAATTATAGGAGGAATAACATGCTCATAAAGAGGTTAATTTGGTGACCGTAAATCTTTAATGAACCTACACTGGTGTCCAGAAACATCTGCCTTTGAAATTAAGAGTCAAGGTCTGTTCTTAGATATACAAGCGGAGAGGCTCATAAATTTGCAAATGGGTTCTTTTGTGTGCAATACCTTCTCCATGTCTGTTTTCTCATACTTCTTACACTCCCTTACTCATTTTCATACAATATTCATACACACACACACACTATGCATATATTCTTATGCATACACAAGCATACATATACACAGTATATAGGATTGCTTTAGTTCTTTGGGCCATGCACTGGCATTAAAAGGTGCCATTCAAAAATGACTGAATTCCAAAACATGGACAGAATGCCTCCTGTCCCACCTGCAGGGCATTTGGGAGCAAACAATGTTGAACCAGTCAAATCTATTGTATAAAATCTTCCGGCTATGTATAATGTGCATATGAAGCGTACATGGATTTTGTGTTCATTGTATCTCATTATCTACCTATAAAGGAATGCAAGTATTCCAAAATCAGAAAAAATCCAAAACACTTCTCATCTGAACCATTTCAAATATGGGATGTCTATCTGTTAAATTAACGGTTGAAATTGCTATATAACATTAACAATTGACCAATCCTGACATACCTATCTGGCAGTAGATGAAGAAACCAGCCTTCTTGAGTGCCATTTTGCTCTCTGCTCTTTGCTCTGAAAGTTCCTAACATATGACTGAGTCAGTTGTGTCAAATAGGTGTATTTCAGTACAAAGCTTCCAAAGTATCCATAACAGTACAGCACTGTCTAAACAGTGTTTGCTGTGAACCTTAGGAAGCTTACAGTATATACAGACCCAGGCATAATTGGCAGTTGACTTTTAGATCTTACTCATCCCATTCATTGAGTTTATTTTAGGAGATAAAAAAGTAGGATACAAATATAATAATAATAATAATATAATAATAATAATAATAATAATAATAATAATAATAAGTCCTATCTATTACTGCTTTTCATTGTAGCCTCCAATGCAATCAGAAATACTGTAGAAATATGGCCTCTATGTAAGCTGTCTTGAGTTCCCTTTGCGGTTGAGAAAGGTGGGGTATAAATAGGGAAAATAAATAATACAATTAATAGATATTTTTTTTGCAGAGCATAGAATCATTTCCTTGTGGAACACAGCTCCTATTTTTTGACCAGTCAATGTGTGGGAACTCAAGCCTCAAAGGGGGGTGACTTTTCCAAGGTCTGGACATTTGTGTTTTCTAAGCGCTGCATATGAAGTTTTCATAGCCTTCTTGGAATACATAACTGCTGCACAATCTAAGTCCTTAGTACAATCCTGAAAAGTAGTGCTTAAGTCCTTCACGCAATCATGTTTTGGCTCTGGTCAAAGATGGGTTTTCAAAAAGTTGGAGAACAATTCTTGGAGGGCAGAACTTGGAGTGGCTCATAGCTTTGGCAACTTCGAGTACAAAGGAAACTTCCATATTTAGAGTCAATGTGTCTGCAGTTATGAACAGACACTGAGTACAAACAAGGAACAGCTATCATCTTCTTGTTGCACTTAACTTACCCTGGTTAATATGACTGATTCCTACTGGAGGAAAAATAATAGGATACATAAACGTTTGACTTGATCTTGAAAAACTATTCTTAATGTCTTTAAAAAGAGATCCAGAGTTATAACCTAGAAGAAACATTCTACAAAAAGTAATCCGGCTTCACATTTGTGGCATTCGTATATTTATTTATTTATTTATTTATTTATTTACTTCATTTGTTGACCGCCGCTCTCAGCCCTGGGGCGACTCGCGGCGGTGTACAACATGTAAAAAACAGTCTACAAAACATACAATAAATCAGCAACCAAATTACACATTAATCTAAATTACACTAAAAAATCCGCGCCATCACAACATGGAATCATAGCCAATCTCATAATCCATAGTCCGTTCCGAATGTCATTACCGGAGTCATATGGCTCTCAATTAAATGCCTTCTCGAATAGCCAGGTCTTTAGGCTCTTACGAAAAGCCATCAGGGAGGGCGCCTGTCTGATGTTAACAGGGAGGGCGTTCCATAGCCCTCCCTGTTAGACCAGGTATGGGGCAGGTATGGGGCAAATCCAGGCCTGGGAGACAGATGCAGCCCTTTGGGCTCTTTTCTGAGTCCCTCCTCTCTCTCAGCATCCTATCTTTCCCGAAATTCTCATGGTGGCTCGCGAAAAGGCCTTACTGGTACATTATTTAAACTGTTATGTTTATTCATATCATGATCTGATCACCATACTCAATATATCCCATATGCATGGGGGTATTGGGGTAACGATACAAAAGGTTTGCTAGGCTAGACCCTCTTTCACTCAGACTCAGCCCCCCCCCAAAAAACTCAGCCCCCCCGAAACCCCCCTGAAAATTTTTTAGCCCCCCCCCCCCCCCGAAACGAAAGCCTGGCTACGGGCCTGGTAGAGAGGGAACATGAGAACCATGCTTCAAGATTTTAAAAGGTGCTCCGTTGAGGAGGAGGGGGAAAACTGACTTTGTGCTGCTGTAGAGGCCAGGGCACAAAGGAGCAACAGTTTGCAATGGCAGAGAAAGAGATTTGACTGAAAAGATTAGGAAGAACTCCCTGAGAGCTGTTGGAGAGTGGCATAGGCTGCCTTGAAGTGTGATGGAGGCTTTTCAGCAGAGGCTGTCTATTGGGAGTGCTTTCTTGCATGGCAGGGGGTGGATTGCATGGCCCTTGGTGGTCTCTTCCAGTTCTAGCATTGTATATCAGGAGTAGGCAATGTGGGGTCTCATGGATACACTTTTTCGCTCCCTTCCACCATCTCACCCTGACGAAGGCTAACCCTTTTGGGATCCAAACATTTCCCATATTTCCTCCAAAAGAGAAGAGGAAGAGGAGGAAAGGGATGGGAGGAGACTTGGGAGAACCCCTCTCCACTCTAGCCCGCCATGTGACCCCGAAGTTAGAAAGTTTGCCCACGCCTGATATAGACCCTAGAAGCCTTCTGGTTTTGTTTAGGGAGGTTTTAATTATGCCTTTTTATATAATAATGGCATTGTAGTCTTTCTGGTGATGAGAAGAAACATGTACACTCCCTGGATTAACTGTATCATTATACTGTGTTTGAAAAGTTTTACAGTCAGCCTTTTTTGACATCAGCCAGAACATCTGACTCTAGACAGGAGAAAGGTATAACATTTTTAGAGCAGCAAGTTCATTCTGGAAGCACTGTTTAAATGGCCTGTGCCTGTTTCCCTCTTGGACTGAGCTTGAACAGGAAAAGAAAGGAAAAAGAAAAGAAATAATAAAAATTCAAGGGAAAGGCTGGCTGTGTAGAGCGCTGATTGGCTAGAGTACATGCCATCATCAAGAAGGATCCTGTACAATCCCAGGAGTCAAAATGTAATTAAAGAATGGTTTCTTTTTGAGAATGCAATTAATGCATGAGTGAATAGTCAAATGTTCATGCATTTTGTGAAATTTTCCTTTTAATGTCGGCAACTGACCCAACGCAAAGGGGCATTCATATCTCTTACTGTCAAAGAAGGTTTGCCCCTCTCCTTTTCCATTAACAACAACAATGTCTAGAAATTAGCTTCTGGCCTCATCAGAGCTATATCTAATGGTGTATCTCGCTAGAGAGTTACCGCATTCTGATATCATTTGAGCTGCCACAGCTTCATCCTACAGATTTATATTTTGCTGAAGGATTTAGAATTCTCTGCAAGACAGACAATTTTAAGTACCACAGCAAAGTGCAAATCCCAGGATGCCATAGGATGATGTCCTAAAGGTAAACGTATGCTATAATTCCAAAGCATAGGTAAGTTTGAAAGCTGGTATCCTGTTGATTAGTTATTGGCAAAACCACGTCTGAATGTTC